CCCTCCCTCTCCCCCCCAAAAAAAAACATCAAATTCAGGTACGGAAAAAACGAAAACCGGATTGTGTATAGTTTAGTAGTGTATAAACTTTTTAAAAAAAAATCTTCAATGAAAAAAAAACTAAGATACAAACCTGAGATAAAAGTTAAAACCGAAATGAAAAAAAAAAAAAAATTTCTTTTGACACGTCGCGCCGCTTCGTACCTTTAAAAAATTCGGTTATTTTTTTCTTGGTATACCGGGATTAAAAAAAAAAATAAACCTTTAATATTCTATTATTATTATTATTATTATTATTATTATTACATTTTAAAATTCAAATTTTTTTTTTTTCTCCAGACTAGTCTGGAGAAAATTAAAAAAAAAAAATCGATACTAAATAAATGAATAATAATTAAACGAAATGAAAATTTTCACACCGAAAAGTGGAAAATGACGACGACGACGACTAATTTGTTATTTTAATACGTATAAACATTAATAATAATAATAATAATAATAATATTAACTTTGTTAATTATTTCATGTCGGAAAATTATTTAATTTTAATTAATTAATTAATTAATTTTAACGCTTTTATAACAATTATAATTGTTTCAAAATCATCCGACCGTTTCTTATTTAATATAACATAACGCCCATTATTATTATTATTAAATTTTTCAAATCAAAATTTTTTTTTTCATGGGGGGCGGGGAGGGAGGATGAATTTTTTGTCACGATGATGATGATGATGATAATAAAATGAACGCAGATAAATTTTATAATAATTTAAATTTTGTGGACACGAAAAATTCTTTTGTATGTCATGGAAAAGTGACATTGATAAGTTATGACGACAAAGAATCACAAATGTCTGCACACGGTTTGTTGTTGTTTGTTAGGAGTGATTGGTGGTGGTGGTAGTGGTGGGGGTAAGTAAAGGAAAGAAGAAAGGAAGGAAAGAAAATTTTGTAGTGAAGTTGTCGTGGCGAGACATGAGGACAAGGACCCAGGCGTCATTCGGACCCGATTGCCACCAGTCTTATGGTTGTAAGGTGAGAACGACCATTCATTCCACTTGTGACAAATCATGTTTGCCTTTGGATTTTTTGTTACTGATATTGTCCTTTTTTTTTTTTTTAACAATGAGATCGAATTTAATTGTCCCAAAACTGTCTTGTTTCTTTCTGTCCTTCTTCTTCTCTCCGGATTTTATTTTTTAATGCTTTCGTGTGTGTGTGAAAGAGATCGCGACCGTCTTCTGCTACCGAATATTTTAAGAATATTCATTACTTAGTCAATCTCAGCTTCTCTTCTGCTTAACAAGTAATTTCATTCGATAACCACCAACAAGCCATCGTATACAAAATTAAAGCTTAACACTATCATTATTATTATTATTATATCCGGTAAATTTTGCCGTACAAACGTTTGTTAACAACCAATTCAAAAATTATTTATTTAAGATCATCAAGTTCAAACAACTATGATGTCAAAATTCGAACAAAAAGACATCGGGGAGAAAAAGAAAACGGTAAATATCGATCG